AATGCTAAAGGAACTTCTTTAGGCAGGAAACACAAAAGAAGGAAAAGACCTACAATAACAAACCCAAAACAATTAAGAAAATGGTAATAGGAGCATACATATCGATAATTACCTTAAATGTAAATGAATTAAATGCTCCAGCCAAAAGACATAGGCTGGCTGAATGGATAAAAAACAAAACCAGTATATACGCTGTCTACAAGAGACCCACTTCTTCAGACCTAGGGACACATACAGACTGAAAGTGAGGGGATGGAAAAAGATATTCCATGCAAATGGAATTCAAAAGAAAGCTGGAGAAGCAATTCTCATATCAGACAAAACAGACTTTAAAATAAAGACTATTACAAGAGACAAAGAAGTACACTACATAATGATCAAGGGATCAATACAAGAAGATATAACAATTGTAAATATTTATGCACCCAACATAGGAGCACCTCAATACATAAGGCAAATGCTAACAGCCATGAAAGGGGAAATTGACAGTAACACAATCATAGCAGGGGACTTTAACACCCCCCTTTCTCCAATGGACAGATCATCCAAGATGAAAATAAATAAGGAAACACAAGCTTCAAATGACACATTAAACAAGATGGAGTTAATTGATATTTATAGGACATTCCATCCAGAAATAACAATACACCTTCTTCTCAAGTGCTTATGGAACATTCTCGAGGATAGATCATATTTGGGTCACAAATCAAGCCTCAGTAAATTTAAGGAAATTGAAATCATATCAAGTATCTTTTCTGACCACAACGCTATGAGACTAGATATCAATTACAGGAAAAATATCTGTAAAAAATACAAACACATGGAGGCTAAACAATACACTACTTAACAACCAAGAGATCACTGAAGAAATCAAACAGGAAATCAAAAAATACCTAGAAACAAATGACAATGAAAGTACAGTGACCCAAAACCTATGGGATGCAGCAAAAGCAGTTCTATGAGGGAAGTTTATAGCAGTACAGTCCTACCTCAAGAAACAAGAAACGTCTCAAATACACAACCTAAGCTTACACCTAAAGCAATTAGAGAAAGTAAAACCAAAAAAACCCAAAGTTAGCAGAAGGAAAGAAATCATAAAGATCCGACCAGAAATAAATGAAAAAGAAATGAAGGAAACAATAGCAAGGATCAGTACAACTAAAAGCTGGTTCTTTGAGAAGATACACAAAATTGATAAACCATTAGCCAGACTCATCCAGAAAAAAAGGGAGGAGACTCAAATCAGTAGAATTAGAAAAGAAAAAGGAGAAGTAACAACTGACACTGCAGAAATACAAAGGAGCATGAGAGATTCCTACAAGCAACTATATGCCAATAAAATGGACAACCTGGAAGAAATGGACAAATTCTTAGAAAAGCACAACCTTCTGAAACTGGACCGGGAAGAAATAGAAAATATAAACAGACCAGGGCTTCCCTGGTGGCACAGTGGTTGAGAGTCCACCTGCTAATGCAGGGGACACGGGTTCGTGCCCCAGTCCGGGAGGATCCCACATGCCACGGAGCGGCTGGGCCCGTGAGCCATGGCTGCTGAGCCTGCGCGTCCGGAGCCTATGCTCTGCAACAGGAGAGGCAACAACAGTGAGATGCCTGCGTACCACAAAAGAAAAATAAGTAAAATAAACAGACCAATCACAAGCACTGAAATTGAGACTGTGATTAAAAACCTTCCAACAAACAAAAGCCCAGGACCAGATGGCTTCACAGGTGAATTCTGTCAAACATTTAGAGAAGAGCTAACACCTATCCTTCTCAAATTCTTCCAAAACATAGCAGAGGGAGGAACACTCCCAAACCCATTCTACGAGGCCACCATCACCCTAATACCAAAACCAGACAAAGATGTCACAAAGAAAGAAAACTACAGGCCAATATCACTGATGAACATAGATGCAAAAATCCTCAACAAAATACTAGCAATCAGAATCCAACAGCACATTAAAGGGATCATACTCGATGATCAAGTGGGGTTTATCCCAGGAATGCAAGATTCTTCAGTATACACAAATCAATCAATGTGATACATCATATTAACAAATTGAAGGATAAAAACCATATGATCATCTCAATAGATGCAGAGAAAGCTTTCAACAAAATTCAACACCCATTTATGTTAAAAACCCTCCAGAAAGCAGGCATAGAGGGAACTTACCTCAAAATAATAAAGGCCATATACGACAAGCCCACAGCCAGCATTGTTCTCAATGGTGAAAAACTGAAACCATTTCCACTAAGATCAGGAACAAGACAAAGTTGCCCACTCTCACCACTCTTATTCGACATAGTTTTGGAAGTTTTAGCCACAGCAACAGAGAAGAAAAAGAAATAAAAGGAATACAAATTGGAAAAGAAGAAGAAAAACTGTCCCTGTTTGCAGATGACATACTATACATAGAGAATCCTAAAGATGCCACCAGAAAACTACTAGAGCTAAGCAATGAATTTGGTAAGGTTGCAGGATACAAAATTAATGCACAGAAATCTCTTGCATTCCTATACACTAATGATGAAAAATCTGAAAGAGAAGTTAAGGAAACACTCCCATTTACCATTGCAAGGAAAAGGAATAAACCTACCTAAGGAGAAAAAAGACCTGTATGCAGAAAACTATAAGACACTGATAGAAAGAAATTAAAGATGATACAAATAGATGGAGAGATATACCATGTTCTTGGATTGGAAGAATCAACATTGTGAAAATGACTCTACTACCCAAAGCAATCTATAGATTCAATGTATTCCCTATCAAACTACCACTGGCATTTTTCACAGAACTAGAACAAAAAATTTCATAATTTGTATGGAAACACAAAAGACCCTGAATAGCCAAAGCAATCTTGAAAAAGAAAAACAGAGCTGGAGGAATCAGGCTCCCAGACTTCAGACTATATTAAAAAGCTACAGCAATCAAGAGAGTATGGTACTGGCACAAAAACAGAAATATAGATCAATGGAACAGGATAGAAAGCCCAAAGATAAAGCCACACACATATGGTCACCTTATCTTTGATAATGGAGGCAAGAATAAACAATGGAGAAGACAACCTCTTTAATAAGTGGTGCTGGGAAAAGTGGACAGCTGCATGTAAAAGAATGAAATTAGAACACTCCCTAACACCATACACAAAAATAAACTCAAAATGGATTAAAGACCTAAATGTAAGGCCAGACACTATCAAACTCTTAGAGGAAAACATAGGCAGAACACTCTATGCCATAAATCACAGCAAGATCCTTTTTGACCCGCCTCCTAGAGAAATGGAAATAAAAACAAAAATAAACAAATGGGACCTAATGAAACTTAAAAGCTTTTGCACAGCAAGGGAAACTATACACAGGATGAAAAGACAACCCTCAGAATGGGAGGAAATATTTGCAAACGAAGCAACTGACAAAGGATTAATCTCCAAAATATACAAGCAACTCATGCAGCTCGATATCAAAAGTACAAACAACCCAATCCATAAATGGGCAGAAGACCTAAATAGACATTTCTCCAAAGAAGATATACAGATTGCCAACAAACACAGGAAAGGATGCTTAACATCACTAATCATGAGAGAAATGCAAATCAAAACTACAATGAAGTATCACCTCACAACGGTCAGAATGGCCATCATCAAAAAATCTGCAAACAATAAATGCTGGAGAGGGTGTGGAGAAAAGGGAACCCTCTTGCACTGTTGGAGGGAATGTAAATTGATACAGCCACTATGGAGAACAGTATGGAGGTTCCTTAGAAAACTAAAAATAGAAGTACTGTATGACTCAGCAATCCCGCCACTTGGCATATACCCTGAGAAAAACATAATTCCAAATGAATCATGTACCACAGTGTTCATTGCAGCTCTATTTACAATAGCCAGGACATGGAAGCATCCTAATTGTCCATCGACAGATGTATGGATAAAGAAGATGTGGCACATATATACAATGGAATATTACTCAACCATAAAAAGAAACGAAATTGAGTTATTTGCAGTGAGGTGGATGGACCTAGAGAGTGTCATACAGTGTGAAGTAAGTCAGAAAGAGAAATACAAATACTGTATGCTAACACATATATATGGAATCTTAAAGAAAACAAAAAAAAGATTCTGAAGAACCTAGGGGCAGGACAGGAATAAAGATGCACAGGTAGAGAATGGACTTGAGGACACAGGGAGGGGGAAGTGTAAGGTGGGACGAAGTGAGAGAGTGGCATGGACATATGTACACTACCAAATGTAAAACAGATAGCTAGTGGGAAGCAGCCGCATAGCACAGGGAGATCAGCTCGGTGCTTTGTGTCCCACTAGAGAGGCAGGATGGGGAGTTTGGGAGGGAGACGTAAGAGGGAGGGGATATGGGGATATATGTATACATATAGCTGATTCACTTTGTTATACAGCAGAAACTAACACACCATTGTAAAGGAATTATACTCCAATAAAGATGTTTAAAAAAAAAGGGGGGGCCAGGGTGCAGAGGAAGACGAAAGCCAGTTCTTTAAGGGTCTTGAAGTTTAAGTTTATCCTATAGGGCACAGATAATAGGGAGCCATGGAAGGCTCAGAAGCAGGGAAGTATCACTGTGAGACCTACGCTCGGGTATAGGCAGGGAATAGACATTCCTATGTGAGAAGAGTGAAGAGTCTGAGGACTCGCCCTCCTATTTAATACCTGAGGGGCTAATATTCACTTTCAGCCGAGTTGACCTTCTGGATTTTATTGCAACCCTGTGTCTCCACCTTTTGGCATGGCTCAGCGTGAGAGCTGCAGGGGCAAGAGCCAGGAGCCTCCCTGGGAACACAAGCTCTGGCCATCAGTTGCTCCATTGCTCAGGGGGGATTCCAGCTCCCAAGGGACATGAGGCCTTGCCCCTGGAAGGAGTGGGGGATGAAGCTGCCTCGGTGTGACTCAGAAAACAGATCCAGGCTTGGCAGCAGTTGAGAACTGTTTGGAAACTTCATACAAGGTTTTGCTTTGTTTTGTTCACAGGCCCTCAGAGTAAGCTGCAGGAATAGGCTTCCGCGGTCTTGGATCTCCTATTGCTCCCCCGCTCCCACGAGCTGCCGAGGAGGGCCTTTCCTGGCTTGGAGCCACACCCAACTCCTCCTCAGCGTGGTCATCTTCTTTCCAAAATTGAGCCTACCTACCACAGGGGGACCAGCATTTACCACGTCAGCTCCGGGCAGAGGTGAAGGATGACTAGAGCTGTTAATGACCACCACAACCAAAATACTTGTGATCTATCGAATGACTCGATTCCCACATGGTGGATGTCAAGTTTAGTACATGTGTCCTGTCATCTGATGGCCAGAACAGCTTAATGAAGTAGGTACAAGTATTTTCTTCATTTATCAGATAAACTGAGGCACAGAGAGCAACTTGCAGCTGGTATTTTGCAAAACCTAGATTCAAAGCTGGTTCTTACTTCGAAGCTGGGGCTCTGTGGCCCACCAATCTCCCATTTCTCAGCGCTTCCCTTGGGCAGCTGCCCCTTTCTCTACCCACCAAGTACCCATTGCCTTGCAGCTGTATTTTCTCACGTAAACATCCAGTTCCTCCCACATGCAGCTCATTTGTCGGGGGAGTCTCAGCTCTGCCATGAATTAGTTCTGTGACCCTGGAAAAAGTCCTTTAAGCTATCTGGGCCTCAGTTTGCCTATCAGTAAAATGGGGATGCCCTCCCTTTTTTATAGTCAGTGTAGGAATTTAATCCTCTGCTCCTAATACCTCAGAAACCTGTTTGGGACACATAATTGAAAGGTCTTATTATGTCGATGCAGAAGTGACACATAGTCAGAGGTTCGAGTCCTGCCTGAGGCATTGAACACCCAGGAGGTCTCCACAAGTAGACTGGAGTAACAGGTGTCTGCACCGGGGGGCAGCTCTGACCCAGCCAATTCTGCTGGCAAAGCTTGCTCTTGGCTCTTTCCATGGAGAGAAGTCACATTCCATAGCCTGGCAGCCCAGCACCAGGAAACAGCCCTGCTCAGACACAAGGAAAATGAACATCAAAGGGGCTCTGTTGGTTTATAAAAGTATTATGAGCCTCCAAGTTCTCTTGTTCGTTGCCAAGGTGAGAAGACAAGGGAGGAGAGAGACTGGGTCCAAGGAAAGCATGGAGGATCTCCTTGTTCTTAGCTGTTAAACAAAAGCACTGTCTCCCCCAGGCTGAGGCCAATAGCTTTCTCTACAGGCTGGCTATGCTCTGCTGTGTTCGCAGCTCAGCCTTGGGTCTGATTAACAGAAGCCTAGAAGCATTTTAGGGCTCCTATCACATCTGCTGTGTTCATTTCCTGGAGTTGTTGTAGCAAAGTACCCACAAACTGGGTGGCTTAGAGAAATAGAAATGTATTGTTTAACAGCTCTGGAGGCTAGAAGTCCAAAATCAAGGTGGTGGCAGGGCCATATTCCCTCTGAAATAAATAGGAGAAAGATCCTTCTGGCCTCTTTCAGCTTCTGATAGTGTTACTGACTCTGGTCCTTGGACTCTTTAATCAATAGAAATTGATAGGCTAGACAAGGTTTTCAGGCAAGGCTTTACTGGGACCTGTGCTACAGGATGAGGGAGCAAAGACAAGTAGCAGTTTCCTTTGTTCACTCCCTGAGGAGGGGCGGGCTGGTTCTGTAAGTGGAAGGAGGGTAGGGACAGATGGATGGGTTGGGCCGCAGGGCTGGTTTCAGTGGACTGCCCACCCCCTGTGTGCAGGGGTCCTGTGTTGCACCCTGCTTTTGCTCCTGGCACCTCAGAAGTGACAGTTGGTTTGTGACCTTTGTGTATCTTATTGTTCATAATTGCTCCAACTGTGGACACGTGCAGTACTTTTAGTCCCTTATAGTTTCTTTGTATTCTGTTGCTCGGAGGAGACGTTTGTCCACGGGTAAGCACTCCGGTAAAGGGTCCCAAGTCCCAGCCTGTCTCAATAGCTCCGGAGACTCCTCAGCTTGTGACCTCATACCTCCAATCTCTGCCTGCCCCATGGCATTCTCCCTGTAGCTTCACACCATCTTCCGTCTAGGAGCACCTGTGTCCAAGTTTCCCCTTCTTAGAAGGACACAAGTCATTTGGATTAGGGCCTACCGCAATGACCTCAGTTTTACTTGGTTACCTCTGCAAAGGCTCTTTTTCCAAATTAGGTCACATTCTGAGGTGTAGGGGTTAAACTTTGACATATCTTCTTGGGGAGCACACTTCAGCCCATAATGCCTGCCCTTCTCACTCTGTAGAAAAAAAATGGCCCAAAAGATTTGGATTTGATTTCAGTTATGCCCATAACTGGCTTCTTGGTGTTGACAAGTGATTTTCAACATGGTTCCTCATCTTGCTGACTTGGGAGGAAGATTAAATGAGATTATAGAAATTACTAACTATATAATTTGAAGTGACCTCTGAGATCATGCAGCATTTCCCAAAATACTCATGAGAGTATCAATCCTACAAAGTCCTTTTGGGATAACAGTGGGGAGTGGTGCTATGAGTCCCTCTCAGAGACTCTCACTGTGCATTAGCAGGCCAAAGGCTCTGAGAAGTCCTATGGTAAAAATACCTTTTTGTCCCAGCATCTCCCACATTAATTTCACCATGGAACCCTATTATTTAGATAATCTCTGGTAGCACTCTCTTGATCACTGATCCACCCTTGGGAAATAGTCATCTAGATTAATATCTCTAGTTCATTAGAAAACCAGGACTTAGACTTCTATCACCTCCTACATAAACTACCCCCAAATCCCAAATCCTCATTTTAGGCTCAGCTTTGAGGGGAACCCAAACTGAAACAGATCTTTGTTCCCCAGAATAAAATCATCTTTATGGCTATTTAAAAATTTTTTAATACTATGTACTCGTTAGTAAATTTTCAAAGAATGCGGAAAAGAATAAGAAAGATAAGTAAAGCTCACCTTAAATATAAGGATAAGTAATGCCACCCAAAAATAACTGGCTAAAATGAGATCTTTATTATTTGTGCCACATTTTGATTGCAGAAGGAGGTGATGAGGCTTAGGAACTGGGATGGGAGCTGGACCCAGAATCAGTGAGCTCAGAAGCACGTCCTGATGTTAGTTAGCTCTTGCTCAAATTTTATGCAAGTCCCTTGGCCTCCCTGTGCCTCGGCTTCCCCTTACGCCTTTAGGGAAAAATGTGTCTGTCTATTGCAGAGCCTGAAGATTGGTAATATTAATGGCTATCATTTTTGGGGTGCCTACTGGGTACACACAATATTATATTACATGTTATTTCATCCAGGAAATTAACTTAGATGCAGGTGAGATCATTGAGGCTTTGAGAATTTAAGTGACTTTCTTAAGGTTCTACAGCTGATGGCAGTAACGGGCAGAATTTGAACCCAAATCTGCCTAACCCTGCAGCTTCTTACATAACCACAACTCTATGATTTCTTATACCACATACTGCAAAAATCAGTTGTGTTTTCTGACTTCTTGGCTCCTGTTAAATGATTTTGCTATGTTTGGGATAATTTCAGCTCTGTGCATCCCACTTCTCCTAAGCAGAACTTAGAAATCTCAAAGCAAATTCCAGCCTTTCTTGCAACTTGAATGAAGACATGCATCTCAGGTTCCACCAATCGGACACACTCCTATACACTTTGATTCCAAAAGAGCAACTTAAGGAAAGAAATTTCCAGAAGATCCGTTTTGCTGGCAGAATGGTGGCAAGAGGTCTGACTTTTGGGATGACAACATTTGTAAGGTTGAGATCCTGGCGCAGCAGCAGCGGTGGTTTCCTCGGGGGCTTGGTGGTCCCTCCACCACAGAAGGGGCAGTGATCCCCCCTCAGTCCAGTTTTAGGGAGTGATGTTTTCATTGCTCCTGGAAGCTCAGCTTCAAGCCTGGCTCTCCATTTCTCCTAACAACTGTGAGAGCTCCCAGGATCCTTTTAATAAACAACTTCTCTGCCCAGTTAGCCAGAGTCACCTTCTGTTGCTTGCCACCAGAATGATACCTCTCACTACACAGAATCCCAATTCCTTTATGTATCTACATAGTAACGAATAGAGCCAGTCCATTTCTGATCAATTTGATCAAAATAGGCAACAAATTCATTTTGATCCCAAAAGGAACTTTTGGCCAAAGTTATACAAATTGTTTTAAACTGTGCTGATCATAGTACCCATCAATGGCTAAATCTCCAGTTCATATTGCACTTTGTGCCTGGAGTCTAGGTGTCAGAAGCCAAAAAGAAACTAGGCTTGCCTGAATGAGTTTTCTGAAAGAAGTTTAATTGGAAATCATAGTTATCCTTTCACCCAACAGTTCTCAAACATTATATCCCCAAAACACTTTTATGCTCTTAAAAATATTGAGGACCCAAACAACGTTTGTCTGTGTAGGTTATATCTATCCATGCCTACGGTATTCAAAGTTAAAACTGAAAAGAAATTATTTATACTTTTATTTTCAAAAATAATAAAAACATTACATGTTAATATAAATAACACATTTTTAAAATAACTATATTTTCCACACTACAAAAAAATTAGTAGGAAGAGGGGCATTGTTTGACATTTCTGCAAATTTGTTTTTTTATTTTTATTTATTTTTGAATTTTTGAATTTTGTTTTATTTTTTTTATTAGCAGGTTCTTATTAGTTATCCATTTATACATATTAGTGTATACATGTCAATCTCAATCTCCCAATTCATCCCAGCCCCCCCAGCCACTTTCCCCCTTGGTGTCCATACGTTTGTCTCTACATCTGTGTCTCAGTTTCTGCCCTGCAAACTGGTTCATCTGTACCATTTTTCTAGGTTCCATATATATGTGTTAATATACAATGTTTGCTTTTCTCTTTCTGACTTCACTCTGCATGACAGTCTCTAGATTCATCCACATCTCTACAAATGAACCAATTTCGTTCCTTTTTATGGCTGAGTAATATTCCATTGTATATATGTACCACATCTTCTTTATCCATTCGTCTGCTGAAGAGCATTTAGGTTGCTTCCATGACCTGGCTATTTTAAATAGTGCTGCAATGAAGATTGTGGTGAATGAGTCTTTTTGAATTATGGTTTTCTGTGGGTATATGCCCAGTAGTGGGATTGCTGGGTCATATGGTAGTTCTATTTTTAGTCTTTCAAGGAACCTCCATACTGTTCTCCATAGTGGCTGTATCAATTTACATTCCCACCAACAGTGCAAGAGGGTTCCCTCTTCTCCACACCCTCTCCAGCATTTGTTGTTTGTAGATTTTCTGAGCTTGCCCATTCTAACTGGTGTGAGGACCCCATTGTAGTTCTGATTTGCATTTCTCTAATAATTAGTGATGTTGAGCAGCTTTTCACGTGCTTCTTGGCCATCTGTC